TAATTTGAAGTATTTTAGTAATTAGTTGTTTTTTTTCAATGTTTGTCGAAGAAGACTCTCTTTTTGTGCTTCAATTTCCTGATCATGTTATGTAGCTTTTCAATGTTCATGTACTCACCATTACTGAATGCATTTTCCATTTTGTACTCCCAGAATTTTGTCTTGTAATAACCAGCTTTTAGTTAGTTAGATGGTACACAACTTTATCTTTTTTCCCTCTCATTGTGGTCCTCCACTTTCATTGGGATTTTGATGGCATTTTCTGCCACCTTAAAAGTAGATGCTGTTAAATATCAACTCTTGATTTCCAAAACAAGATGCGCAATCTGGGACTGTTTGAGTGATTTTTTTGTAATTTGTTTTTCGGTTTCATTATTGTTCAAATGGGATGACATTTTTTCTTTTGTTCCAGACAATGCAGGACAGTTTCAGGAAGAACATCGGTAAGGTGCTCGATGGAAGTCCCAAGTAAGGTTCTGACCAAACATGTCTTATCTGGGCTTGCTGCTTCTTTGATCTTTGTTTCTCCAGCAAATCAGGTTTGTATCTTTTTGTATTCAACAATCCAAGAGTGTTGCGTTTTACAACACAATTGAGCACGCAATTCCATGAAGTCATATCTCAAATACCGATCAGGAAGACTTATCTAACATTTTCACAATATTGTTTTCCTGAACTCATGATAACAAGGTTTTAAATCACGGTCACAGTTTTTTAAAACATGGCATGACAGTAGTTTATAGAGATAATTTCTGTTACAAAGGTGGGATATTATTATGTAATTGTGGCAAATAGAGAATATTTTTAACTCAAAAAAAATATATCTAGAAATAGGTGTTTATTATTATGACGAATGAGTTGTTTTAAGTATTTGTTTATTTATTTCATCAACAGTCTGTTGCAGCAGATCTATCTCGTGCTCAAAATAATATATGTCAAATTGCCAGTGCCAGAGATGCTGCACTTACTTCACCATTTGAGAATGGATCTGATGAAAAGGGTGCAAATCTAATGATGATGAGAGGTATGACAGCCAAGGATTTTGACCCTGTAAGATATGCTGGAAGATGGTTTGAAGTTGCTTCACTTAAACGTGGATTTGCTGGACAAGGCCAAGAAGATTGTCACTGCACTCAGGTAATGCAAAAATAAATATAGCAGTGAATACACTGTACAATATTTGGTTTAGAAAAGAGCTGATTTTATTTATGATCTTCCAACATCTTTCCCTAGCCATCTTCATATTATTAATAACAAACTGTTGAATTTGGAGGCACTGACAGAATCCTAAGTTTGGCTGTTCATTATTTATTATGCATGTGTTGAATGTTCTGTCATTCAGTAGTAGTATACATCTTAGAGATAAGATTTGTCATTTACCTTATTTGGCATTTCAAGCTTCTTCATAGTAATTTGCGTGTACTAATTATATTTCAGGGTGTATATACATTTGATAGGGAAGTACCATCTATTCAAGTTGACACCTTTTGTGTTCACGGAAGCCCAAATGGGTTTATAACCGGAATTAGGGGAAAGGTTCAATGTGTTTCGGAAGAAGATTTGGATAAAAATGAGACACAGCTAGAGAAGCAGGAGATGATCAAAGAAAAATGCTATCTCCGCTTTCCTACATTGCCATTCATTCCTAAGGAACCTTATGATGTGATTGATACTGATTATGACAATTTTTCTCTTGTTTCAGGAGCTAAGGATAAAAGTTTTATCCAGGTATTTACTGAACTTAAAAATACACTTCAAATATTCTTGAATCTTGAACCATGTGTTAAGCAAACATTATAACTTTGTAGTCATTGAACTTCATTCATAAAAGCTTTATCTGAATTTTGAACGATGTCATATGTGACATCTAATGCTATTTGTTAGTTTAGATAAAGAAAAGAAACAACACTGCATCACCCAGTTCTTTGATTAATAGTTATTAATGAATATCAGATATATTCAAGGACACCTAACCCTGGACCTGAATTTATTGAGAAGTACAAGTCTTACCTTGCAAAGTTTGGATATGATCCAAGCAAAATTAAAGATACACCACAGGATTGTGAAGTCATGTCCAATAGTCAGCTGGCTGCTATGATGTCTATGTCTGGAATGCAGCAGGCACTTACAAACCAATTTCCTGATCTAGGACTGAACTCCCCTATTGAGTTTAATCCTTTCACTAGTGTATTTGACACTTTGAAGAAGCTTGTTGAGCTTTACTTTAAGTAGTAACTATGTTTTGTTTAAAGATATTTACTCCTGTAAACAATAGCTAGCTGCTATCATTGATAGCAACCTATGTGTAACATGTAAAGTATGACCTACCTGTATCTGCTGTAATCCTCTGGTATATCGCGTTTTATCTGTCTATGGTGTTTTAACAGAGTTTTGTATGCAAATAACCATGGTGTGGTAGGATTTTACAGCCTCCATACATATATTAGAATGTAAATATGTTAACCATCTCACACGTCCGACAAGAAAATGTTCTGTAATAGAATCATAACAGAAAAAAGGAAAGATGCTGTCTTTTAGCATTTGACTATAGGCTAAGGTTTTGACTGTGTGCTGGTTAATAAAGTGGAGTTTTACTTAAAAATTAAAAGTTGGGTTTAAATCCATGGCCTAAAAATATAAAACTGTTAGTTCTTGATCACAATTTATAAATTTGGTCATCAGAAAGTTATTTCCTTTGCTAAAATTATAATATTGGTTTATAATCTAAATAATAATTGACAGAATGAGTGGTAGCACAGGTTTTTAACTAAAGTGTTGTTCTTGTTTTCTGGTGTTGTGTCTCTTTTTTTCTTTTTTCATAGTTTATGTGCTTCTTAAATATATATTCTTTATAGCAATCACTTAATCATAAACTTATATTTCATGATAAATCCTACAACAAGCAAACTGAATCATATCAATAATGTCTCCCAAATCGAAAGCTCATCAAGTAAAAGTATCAAATTCTACATCAATTATTGTTTTAATTAAACAAAAATAGATTTTGGTATATTAAAACTACAAATGGTAGAAAAGATTTTTAAGTCGAAGTATCAAATCTGAAAAGATTAGCATAGTAAAATCCCGTTGAATAATGTCTGCTTATTAATTTAAGGTTTTGTAAAATTAAATATTTTGTTTCAAATAAAATAAAAGTGAACAGTGTAAGCTAAAGAAACAAAATAATAAGATAAATAGTAAAAGATAAATATAAAGAATATATTCTCTCTACAAGTTGCTAAGCAGTTTTTTAAGCACTTGAAGAATTAACATGTAGATTAAAAAGGATGTAATAGAATATGATATGTAAAACATAAGGTTTGGGTTTTAAAAAAACTATACATATATATGAAACATAGTTTAACACATAAAAGAAATTAATACTGTAATTAAAAAATTAACACTATAATTAAAAAGGTTATATCTATTATTTTTAAAGTTTGAGATAAAAATATATCAAAGTTGGAGAAAAAAAAATAATTATAATTTTAATATGATGGTAACATTATTTGATAAAAAAATGCCTCAAATTATAACTCACCCAAATATGTGAGATGGATTTCATATTGAAACGTAACAATCCAGAGAGGTTTGTCTTTTTAATATTTTATTATTGCTCAGAGTTGTTAGTTTGATTAATATAAATAAATATTTTTATTTATTAATATGTATGTTTATAAATATGAATCTAGATTTTATATTCTGTCTATTTTAATATATTTTGTATATAACATTATTTTTTTTACTTGTAGTAAATAATAGACTATTACTTTTTAATTTTTTTAATGATTGTAATTATTATATTGAATCTTAATTTTTATAAGATAAATAAACTTTGGACAAAAGAAAGTTATAAATAAACCTTTTATTTTTAATTTATGTGAGTCGATACGTAATTATATAAGAGATTAATCGTGAGATATTTTTTTCATTAGCCCATCCTAACTTATTTATAATGAAATATGTCAAAATAGAATTGATCGACCAACTTCGTCATCTTTAATTACAATATTAGAAGAATTTTTAGACTTGTATTTTTGAAAAGAAATAGTCTCCCTATCTTATTTCTATAGGGAAGTCTTATTTGTTAAATTATATTCTTCATTTTTTGCTTTCTAAGTGTTTTTTTTTTTCATAACATATTTCAGTGTCAGTTTTTTTCTACTATTCAAATTCATTTTTATTTTGATAAATAAATTTTATGTTGATACGCACAAGCCATAAGAACGTTTTTTTGTTTTTTTATAATTTATTTCTAAGACACATTTAATTATTTTTATTTGTTTATAATTATTTAACATTTATATAATTATTATTTAATATTTATATAAATATAATTTATTTATTAATTGATATTTAATATTGGATGAAAGAGGTGTATATTGAATACTTGATATTATCTTTAATATTTTTTTAATTTTAATTTTTTTTGTAAAAAATTTATTCACTTATTATTAGAATAGTAAAAAGTAAAAAAAAATAAAATTATATATATATATATATATATATACATGATAATCGATAGAGATGAGACAAAAAATTTACATAATGATAGATGATAATTTTTACTTCAAACATAAGAATAAGATAGTCAAACCCACTAATATCTTTTGTTGTTATCCCATCATGATTACATGTAAACGAAATCATTTTGAATGGCCCATGACAGGAAATAAAAATAGAAATTTTCTTCTTTAATTTTTCATCACCTTCTAAACGATTTTAGCATATAACTATAATAGAAATTGGTCGACTTGACCAAATTAAATTAAATTAAATTAAATTTATTGGAATTGGTTTAGGTTGGGTAATTTAAATTTTGAACCAAACTAAACTAAACCATTTCGATGTATCTAGGCTTTAATTTTGACATTATCAGATTCGCCAAACCTATGGCTAACCTATTTATAGTTAGTTAGTTGTATTATCTCATCATCAACAACAAAAATAGGTATAATTTTGAAAGAAGTCGCAACAAATTCATGCAGATAAGTAGAACAGATCCAAGAAATGGATTCTATAATACCAAGAACAATTAAAATGGATAACATACTATAATACTACAGTTGCAAAACAGAAAAATTTGTCAAGATACATGAATCTTGCATCCTGGTTTTCTTTCTAGGTTGTATTCAAATCACAAGACTTATGAGTCTATGTATGTGATTGTGTGTGACAAAGTGATTTTGCTTTCCTGATTTAGGTAGCCTATGGATGTGATCCTACTATCCCACCTAGCTGCTACTTTTATCTTTCACATGAATCCCATCAGATCCTACCATGTACTTAGGAACATGATGAAACTTAAAAAGGTGGTATAGTAGTTAGGAACTACACTGTTATAACTGCAACCACATGAATGCAGTTTCACATCTCACAGACCTGTGCCATGCATTTCAGATACACAACATAAAGTGAAGCATTCTTGTGAAACCACATCTCCTGCAACACAAGAAATGCCTCAGAGTCTCTGCAGTTTTCCCACTAGAACAAAATCACAAACAACCCTGCATAAATCAAAAGATCATGCTTTCTCCCCAACACAAACCAAACATAGCATGCATAAAGCCACTTCCTTTGACTCAAAAAATATGGCTGGATTTCCCCCAGTGGAAATAGGAACCCGAGGCACAGTAGCATCCCTCATAATGCAAGAAATCGAGTACTTCAGCAGGATTGATTCAAATTCACAAAGGAACAAGTCTCAAATCACAGAGGTGGGTTCCTCCGTTAGTAGTACAAGTTCTAGAACCACAATTGCATCTACAGTAGAAGAAATTACAAAGAAAAAGCGAGTGAGTAGCAGCAGGCTTTTACCAAGTATGTGTTCTGTGGTTGATGTATCAGACAATGGTAGGCCAAATGGGACCTCAGCTTTCGGTTACAGGAATCTGAAGTCTGACACAAAAAAATTCCAGGTTTAGATTATGCTCTCGGATAGCTTTGAAAACCCAAGCTTCTTTAGACGACTTGCTAAGGGTGTAGCCCAAGCCTTTTCTGCACTCCCACATCTTATGTCCACAACTTCAACAATGTTAGGTATTTTCTTATCATTTTTCTCCCTCACTGGAGTTCTGCTCAATGAACATTTATCAGAACCTAGCATGGGTATTGTCTGTGTATTTCTGCCATTTGTTTTTGTTTTTGTTTTCTGGGGCATGCCATTGCCAGGGCCTCTACGGTTTGTGTTTCTACTGCTTCCACTGCTACTGGCTTCAACCGATGATTTTCTTGGTTGTAGTCTTTTTTGGGTTGCACTGCCACAGGGAACTGAAACAGGAAGTGTTTGAGTTTTAGTCCTTGTTGAAGATACCAGCTTCTTTGGGGCAGAAGGAACGTGATCCAATTCCCTTGTCATCAAGGAGCTGATTGTTCCAGTGGTCCCAAGCTTGATGGATCCTCCTCCACCTTTTACAACCTCCACAGTCTGAGCCATGCTCATATTATGAGATTGATGCCCTCACCAGAATTATTCAACGATCTGTTACACAAATTAGTGTCATCAGTGATCTGAGATGTAAAGCTATAAACTTCTCACAAATTTTTTTAATTTGGTTATTCTTCTTTTATTTACATGATTGGACAAACTTTTCTGCAAACAAATGACTTACACAAGTTAAATTAACTCTGAACACCTAATATTTTTCATCAATTACGAGAACTTCTGTAGGAGATGAAGTACATAAGTTAACTTTAACTCGTACAAGACACTCGATTCATTTGATCTTATTTTCTTCTCTTGTAATTCTTTGGGGAAATTAATCAAACAGGACTTGAGTTAGGAAAAAACAAAGAGAAGTGTAATAAATTCTGCAAGGGTAAGAGGGATGGAGAGGGAAGTTGCTAGATTCACTTACAAAAACATGGTTCCAGCATCAAATCAAAAACAGCAGAACAGCAATTCCGAAATAATTAAAAAAAGTAACCCCCACTTAAAATAGATGATGATTCAAGTTGGTTCATTCATAAAATACAGGTTAACAAGTTGAAGCATCACACACTGTGCATCACGATTTCATAACAAGGTGTTCATAACATCATAACTTCAGGATGAGAATTACAATTCAGCTATAATGAATCAACACACAAAGCAAAAAAAAAGAAAGAATGCAAAATCACAATGGTTAGGCGAAAATGAATCAAATATAAATCACCATTCATGAATAAAAAAAACCAAGAGAAGGGTAAAAGGAACCCAACTCACCAAAACACAAGCAAAATCAAACGAAACAGTCATCAATTTTGACAACTTGAATAAACATGCATATATATACTAAGAAAACCAACGATATAGTTTCTTTGAGAAAAAATAAAAGCAAAACAAGAATGTATTTGACTTCCAATTCAATCAAATTGCCTCACTTCAAAGAGTGGCAATCTAATTCGAAGAAGTAACAACCCATCACTACACCACAGTGCAGAAGAAAGAAACAGCATTTTAGATCCACAAGAGAGGCATGAAAGATGAAATAAAAGGGGAAAACAAAAATTGGGTATTGTACGCACTGCAAGTTTATGGCTCCACACTTTTGCAAAGTTGCAGATTTGAAACAGACCCATCAGAGGAGGGAACTTTTTGTGGTAAAATTGAGTGAAAGTGAAAGTTGGGAATGAAGAAGATGGAGAAATTAGTGTTCTACAAAAAATCATATCTAATCCAACCTACTTTATTTGACTCTCTCTGTGTGTCTTGTTTTGGACCGTGCGCATCCAATGCTCTTGATTTGACTCATAAGCATCGTCGTGCAAAGGTTAACTTCGCCACCAAATTTTCACAACTCATTATGGACAAATCAAATCATAATCATCAAGGCAAAACACTATGTGAAAATTATTTTTTATTACTTTATTCAATTCACTTTTACGATTCTATTGAGTTTCTTTCATAAATCTTAATATCTTTTTTTCATAAAAAAAAAACATGCAACTTCTAGAGAAAATTATGTAAAATAAGTTATCCAAAATCGAAGTTTGAGATCCCAAGAGAGAAAAGTTCAAAAGTCAGAAAATGAAAGTTGAGAGTTTGCTAAAACACAGATCACGTGGCCTACAAACCGCCCAAGGAGACAGGAACCCACTTGTTACTTACCTGTTCCAAATACTATAATGTGTTTTTTTTAATATATATATATATATATATTATTACTTCAAAATTGCATCTTTGAAACAGACCCAAAACCAAACTGATATCTGCATTTTGGGATGAAGGAAATGTATGCAGTGACTGAACTTTTCATTCAAAAGAAAAAGTATTTTTTATCTTACGTTGTTTCATAAATAATTAATATTATGTGAGCTTTCTGAAAATGTTGCATAATTTTTCAGCAATTTGATGAGTTTAAAAAGCTTTTAATTTGTCTGGTAGAAAACTCCCTCACTCAGTAAATAGCATCGATTGTTGACAGAATGTGATGTGTCTGTCATAGCTTAGCAGGCATTATTTGACAAACTCTGCTCGTCTCATTATGGAGTGTGAACTCTTTGACAAATTTGTTTTTACAAATTTATATTAAATTAATTCTTTTAATAAGAAAATTATTTATTTTAAAATAAATGATATAAATACAGTGATATTTTTTAATTAAAAATTGATATATATATATATATATATAATTTTAATAATGATTATTATAATGGACTATAATTTTATATAATTCATTATTAAATTTTAAGAAATTAATATCATATTAAAAATAAAATTTAAAATATATTTACAAATTTGTATCATATGTTTAAATTTATTTTTGGATTTTTCGCATACTGTCAGATATGATTTATTTTTTCTGGGCCCTACATGAATTCTAGTGTCCGTTCTTGGAAGAAGTTAATCACAAGATTAATACCGATTTTATAGATGAAATAATGAAACAATAAAAGTAGCAGAATTCATAGAAAAACAGTAATATGGTTTAATTTACACTGTTAAGATTTACTTAAACAGATAAATATTTTTAGTTACCTGTATATTTAATTTTTAGTAAAATTATCCATTATACTTTGTTAATTGTATTATATTTAGGATAATTTTTCTATAATAATGATATTCTCTTGGGATTAAAATGGTCTATTACTCAAACCAGAATAGCGTGTTTGCTCAAATTATAGGAAAAAGAAAAAATGAAGATATAAACGAAAATAAAATAAACAAGTGAGAAAATGAAAACAATATATCACTTTGAAATGCATCAAATATAAGTTCATGTTGATTCACAACATGAAAATGTCATCGTTTTTTTGTCTTTCTTTGATAATGTTTCTTACAAGGATTCATTGAAGCACTTTGATTCTAATCATTTCTCTCATTTTCTTAAAGTATTTCCTATTTTTATACATGTTTTCACATTCAACTCTAGAAAAATAACCAATAAATAATCACATTCAATAAATATATAAACTTGTGACTACACGATGCAAGATTTTAAAAAATATTATTCTAATAAGATTAATATCGTTGTTTGATTACTACACAAAATCTGTTTGATTCTTTGATACAATTTTAATTATTAAGTGTTCACTTTTTTTTGTTACATATTAAAAATTCATCCTTTGAATCCCATTTGCTCCTATTCATAAGGTCGTTATCACATAATTCATTTGTACAGAATATCATAAATTCACAATACTGTTCTGATATTACTGAAAATTGTCAGTGGTTATGAGATAATTTGTGCCTGAAAAGTGCAGTTTGACGGTGCAGATATCATACCATTATATGATGTTTCTACAATCAACAAGTGTGTTTTTGCAACAGATGAATAGAAATGTAGATAAGTTCATTTTATAATAATCTATATACAATATTGATATGGTTTGCATCAACCAAAAAGACCAAACTGGTAAATGATGCAAGGCATAAAAGAAAGACATGACAACTGAAGTAAAAAGCCGAGGCCAGTAATTTTGGCCTTTTTCTTCCTTCAAAGATTCAACGCGTTAGGCTTTGGAAAGACCAAAACATCACACTGGAAATTCTCTAAAAAAGTGCCATGCTTTGGTGTTACCAAAATATCACATGGAAATGACTGACTTCCTAGGACGTACAAAACCTCTATAAAAATCAAGCACATGAAGATATTTATGGCTTATTTGCCTTGAAAGTAGAGGCAGCAGAGTAGTGGCATCTTTGGTTTGTAATCACCAAAGGAGCAGCAGCAAAAGCTATCTGAATGAGAAAACATCTCTAAACAGAACAGCAATGGCTTTTTTGCCGTACAAAGGAGTACCTATTTCCCAGCATACCAGTTCTGAGCACACTTGGCATCAACAGATAGGTCAACTTTAAGAATGTTCTTGCCATTAAAGGGTTTGGACATGCACTCAACAACTATGGACTTTGCAACCTCAGCCGATTCAGTTGGTCCTTCCAATATGACCTCATCATGAACCTGCTTGGCAAATCCAAGATTTTAAGTGAAAATGTAACAAGTTTGGAAATAGATATCTGAAAATATTCAGATATGGAATAACTCAAATATCAAAACATAGTTATAATTTATTTTTTCTTATAGGCCACTGCTATGAACATTAACAGTACATGTGTCAGCCAAATTCCCAATTGGTACATATACTTAACCCCCAGTTACCCTACCAACTCCGGGAGCAAGAATGCATAGAATTGATTATTGAATCAAGACTCAAGTAGAATATGGCAAGTGAGAGCAGGTGTAATTTGAACACACGTTCCACTAAAATGAAAGCAAGAAAAATTAAAAATGAAAAATAGATGGAGCACTAAATTACCTGTAGAAGTAATTTCCACCCAAGTTCCTTTAACTGCTTATTCTTGGAAATTTGCAACATGGCACACATGGCAACATCAGCTGCACTACCCTGTTGAATACCACAAATCAGAAACCCAAAAAGAAAGGTCTGCATGTGGTAATGGCATCTCAACTGAAAGCATTGAGCTATTATTATGAGAGTAAGAGGAGTGAACCCCTGTTTGGTCATGCAAGTATGTATTTATTTTAAGAGTTAAGGACCTGCACTGGAGTATTGATAGCAGCTCTCTCAATGTGACCTTTCTGATATTTGTTAGCTTGGGCCATCAAAGGGAACCGTCGTGCTCGCCCTAGCAATGTGTGTACACAATGTAACTCGTGAGCTTCCTTTTTACGCTCCTCTTGCCATTGTAAAACCTCTTTTCTATCATTGTACCAAAGGTCAACTGTTTTCTTAGCATCTTTCACAGAAACCTGAGAGTGGACAATCAAATAATAAATCACAGACACTTGCCACCTGGGCAAACCCCTTATAATAAGTAAGAGTTCAGGGTACCTTCCAATCCTTGGAAAGCCCAACCGGTGTCTTCCCATATGCAATTGAGAAGTTAAGCATTTTAGCTTTTCTTCTTTCAGAAGCAAAGGCATCCTGACATGGAAAGGGAGAAAAACTAAAAACATAATCAAATTATAAAACAGTTTTTATAACTTATAACAATAAACTGCTAAAACAGGCTTTTCCATATCTTTGAGGGTCAGGCATCAAATGAAGCCAAACTGCTGAAACAAGGTTTAGATATTCCTGGTGTTTCGTATTTACTTCTATTAATATAAATAAACATTATCGAAAGCATTATACGTCGAAAAACACTGAATCCTCATGTTTGGAAGCCTATCACAAATAAAACTGCAATCCTTCTATTATCACTGTTCCATGTTATGCTTTCCCCCAAAACAGTGTTCTGACATGCAGTACTTGTTAATTATTTTTGTGGGGAAGTTCACAAATTATGTGTCTTTGTTCCAATTCTTAATGAAATATATTTATGTTATTTTGCATTTGATGGATCTATGTCCAATCAGAACATGAATTTTTCCTCCCTCATGCACTGCAAGCACTCTGGTTCTCACTGTCTTATGTCATCAACAACGAGAATTACCAAATTAAAGACAAAGACACTACGTGAACGTCTCTATGAAATGGTATTTGGTACTAGTAGCAGACAGTTACCTTCAAAAGAGGAACTGGGGGTTTATCTTCACCAGGCTTACGATGCCACTCAAGAAGCACTTCCTTTTTCTCAACTGCTTCACGAATATATGGGTACATATTCATTGCAGTCCTTGAATGAAAATCTCCACCAGCTTTAAAAGCTTCCAACATGCTCTTACAGTCTGCAAGGTGAGCCAGAATCCTAAGTTCCAGCTGTAACAATACAGAAGGCTGTTAACTGAATGAAAGTTATTGAAAATAGCTTAGTTAGATAGACAATATAGACTATTAACCTGCCCATAATCAGCAACTATAAGGGAATTCCCAGGTGAAGCAATGAATGCTTGACGGATTTTGTATCGGTCTTTTTCCAGAGCAGGTTGATTCTAATTCACAAAGTGTATGTGTTAGATTATATACCGTTTTAAAATTCAATGAATAATCTACTAAATGTAATACCCATATGTGAATGTCCAAATGCAAATTGAAAATGACTGTATGACACCAATTAGTGAAAACACAAGCACACATATCAAGGTAAATGGTCAAATCTCAATGTATAGTACTTAAAAATTTCAAGTTCACAATTACTGTTAAAATGAAATTTCCTAATCAAAATCATAAGACTTCTCTGATAAATATTGAAAATTAGAATAACCTGCAGATTTGGCCTTCTTGCTGACAAGCGTCCTGTCTCTGTGTTGATATTTAAGGAACAATGAACACGAAGATCTTTGCCAGATATATTTTGTCCCTGACAAAAAGAAAATGAAGCTATAAGAGAGCACGTATAAAGTGCTTCATTGCAAAAATACAGACATATATTTACTTAATTAAGCATACAAAAAATCAGCATGAACTCAAGGAAATAATTTCTCTTGGCATATCCAAGCAATGGAGAACCGAATACCGACCT